AGTACTCCCTCGCAATTTCATAGTCCATTTATTGCGGACTTGCTCTATCACGGTTTTTCAAAATAAGATTGAGCATGAACTTTGATGAAAGATTGGACATGACATACAATTGGCTGATTGATGGATGAGCCACACGATTGGCATGAAATTTTTTATTTAAAATAAATTATTTTTAATTATTTAGCATTATTTTGCCTTTATTTATTCTTATATATATACTGTATATATATATATATATATATATATATATATATATATATATATATATATATATATATATAGAGAGAGAGAGAGAGAGAGAGAGAGAGAGAGAGAGGGAGAGAGAGAGAGAGAGAGAGTTTGTTTCTCTAATGTACGGGCTCTATTAATCCTAAATTTCCAAGGGAAATTTAAAATGCACACCAAGCAAAACTTGGGACTCGAGAAGATAAAAGTCTGGTCAAGAGGGCCCAGTGAAGGGGCCCAGATTTTGTAGGGGTGGCTTCACCTTGGTTACACCCCTGCATACAGTGACCATAGTGGGTCTAAAACTATCATAACAAACCTAAAACCAAAGAAGAATCTCACCCATACAGCATCCTGTAATCTACTTTGATGAAAACCTGACAAAACAGAAATTTATACTGACAAGGATTGTAATGGACAATTCTTTACTTCAGCAGAAAGAAAGCCTTATTTTGTTCAAAATATTCCCAAGGATTACTGTTTAATGTAACTTTGCTGATGTGTGGTGTCCTGTGAGTTCAGTTGGAGGTCCTACAGCTTTGCTCAGATCAGACTACGAACGTATGTGATTTAAAGTGGCCCAAGAATTGTCACAACAGGTCTGAACAACCTAAAAGACTTTGTAAAAAGCAAAAAGAGCTGTTTTTTATTCACCTAAAATTTACAGCAGTATATATAGCATGGTAACAGGACAGAGAGGGAAACAAAGATGTCCTAGGGAACGACAGAAAAAAATGGAAGAAGGAAGAAGCGGTGATGGAGTAAAGCAGAAGCCCAGCTGTGTTTTCCAGCAGAGAGCTCAGCAAAGATGACTGAGAGCAGGAGACATGACACTCTGTCAGATAGACAGAGATATGAAGTCTGAATGTCAAGAGACAAAAAGAGTGCTTCTGGTCATGTGCACTTGCATTCAATTTCCTTTTATCTGTATTTGTGTGAGGAAATCATTTTCAGTTGTTTGTGTGTGTGTGTGTTTTGTGTGCATGTTGCGAGCAGCGCAGTGGCTCCGGGGTGTAAGGATGGAGAAACTGTCAGAGTGTGAGAGAAAGCATTGTGTCTGAAAGTGTGTGTTTGTGCACTGAGGGGTGACAGAGTGTGTTTTTCTTGTGTGTGTGAAGGATTAGAGGTGTTTTCCTGTGTGTGTTTGTTGTGTGTGGTAGGCTGTGAGAAGAGGATTCCTCTCCACATAGTTACATCTTTGATTTATCGCACACTTTGTGCCCGTAGACTGTGAGCGGGAGTGCGTATGTAAACTTTAAAGCTCATTCCTCCCTTTGTTAGCACACGCCGCACGCGTTTTGTGAAATCAACGAAGAAGAAACATTTGGTTTGTGTCATGTGAGCTCGTCTGTAACTACAGATGGGATCATGTTAACTCTCATCTTTTAAATTTTTATTATTTTTATTTTTTGTGAAAATACACTTTGACCTCACTTCGTACATTATTTCCTTTTTCTTTTTTTTTCTTCTTTCAAATCTTCCAAAGTGAAGAAAATAAAACCCAACACCTAAAACACATATCAATAGATTTTGGGGAACACCCATAAAATAAAAATACCAGAATACTGACAAAAACTATATGTTATACATATTGTGGAAAATTACATTTGGACTGGGCAGCAATACAGAAATATCACAGATATGCAAAAACAGAATATGCAGTACTTTGAATGTTGTTTTTAATCTCATCAATATATTTTTTATGCCTACGTTTTTGTTAAGAACTGCATGGAGCTGGTGCTTACCTTCAGTAGTCATTGGGCAAAACACAGAGTACCCTTTGGTCAGGTTGCCTCTCCATCATAAGATCACACAAAGACAAGTTGAACAGACAATTATTCAAATTCAAGTCAATTTTATTGTCATTTCCACCATTTGTGGTACATGAGGTGGAACAAAATTATGTACCCAAGGTTACACCCAAAAATAGCAAAATATAAGTATAAAAAGAAACAATAAAATAAGGATCTAAGATATACACTAAGATATATGCTAAACGCCCATAATGTAAAACAATACGGCATAACAACGGCAGCCTTAACATGACTCTGTGGTTAGCAGATAGGTATAAATGAATACAGAAGCATGAGATAATCAGCAGCATGAGATCAGCAGCACAGAAAAGTCCCATATCACCAGTTAAAGTGACATTACAGTGATTATCCTGGTTAGGGATTTATGAGTCTAACAGCTTCAGGGTAGAAGTTGTTCCTCAGTCTAGTGGTTCTACATTTAATGCTCCACAACCTTCTTCCAGAGGGGAGTGGGACAAATGGTGTGTGTGCTGGGTGAGTGGGGTCTTTCACAATGCAGGTGGCCCTTTTCCTGCAGATGTAGATGTCTGTGATGGTGGGGAGGCTGACGCCAACAGACTTCTGTGCAGCCTTCACCACTCTCTGCAAAGCTGTTCTCTCTGCAGCTGTGCAGCCTCCATGCCACATGTTGATGCTGGAGCACAGGATGCTCTCCACTGCACACCTGTAGAAGGAGTGAGGACTGAGCTTCCCAGTCCAGTTTGCCTCAGTCGCCTGAGAAAGTAGAGGGACTTACTTGCTTTCTTGATCTATGATTCATTCAGTCACTCCTACCTATTGACAAGTATTGCTTGTTTTTAGTGAGAGGAACCCAAAACCCAGTGAAAAATCTTGCATACACGGGTGCAGCAAGAAGGACTACAGCCAGGTTTCAACCCTGTGGTCTTCTTGTTATGAAGCAACAGTTCTACCTACTGTCAGTCTGCCATATTTTTAAATGTCTGCTGAAAATTATGATGAGGCTCGCCGTCATCCAGGGGCATGTCGAAGTAGACCCACTGCCCCTCCACATCAAAAGCAGTCAGCTAAGGTTTTTCAGGCATCTGATCAGAATACCTCCTGAGCTCATCCCTTTGGTGATTTTCTGGAGACTGTGGAGAAGAGCAAGAACTTACTGGAGGGATGTTTATTCTCTCTAGCATGGGAATACCTTAGGATTCCCCAGGGGGAGTCTGTGTAAAGAGGATTTTTTCTGGACCTGCTGCGCCAGAACCTGACCACAGATAAGAGGTAGAACACATATGAAAATGGATGGATTAATAATGTCAGCCATGTGGGGATAAGTGCTATGTTTGTGAAGGAGGAGTATACTTCCTTTAAACTTTTCTTCTGTTGCCCTTAATACTGTATAGCAATGATATTTTTTGCTGCACTACTCAGGAGGGAGACTTCAGACAGCGTAGTACATTTCAAGGAATACACAATAATGTTGTTGACACCACAGCTTGCTTAGTTTATTACCAGCTCACCAGTATACTCCATTTTCTGTCTGATAAAATGACTTAACAGTGTCTTTATTTGCAAAATAACACCAGATAGAGATATGAAAATAGGAACATTTGAGTGCTTAAAAAAGTAGAAAAAATAAGAAATGGGGAAAAAAATCTAGAAATGGGAATGTACTTAGTAATTTATGTTGAACTACAAAAATGCTAAATTCAAGGCTAAACCCAGAGCTGGACGAATATCCATACATAGTTTTAAATTCAACCAGAAATTGTAGAGAAGTATAATTGTTAACAAGAAATATGGTGATGTTAGAAAAGATGGGTTATTAACTATTTGTTTTTTTGGGGGTTTTTTTTGAGAAATTTAAACCAAAACCATAAACCAACCTGCAACATTTTAGTCAGAGCCATTAACACATCTGGACTTTGGAAAGGTTTTTGTAAGAATACACACACGTTTTTCCTTTGTCGAACAAATGTTTCAGCTCCGTGACTCAGCAACAAGTTTCCATACCTATCATATCCTGTGTCGCCGCTTCGTCTCCCTCCTGCTCAGGATAATTGTCTAATAACATAAAACGTCTGTTGTTTTCCATTCACAGGTTTTCCATGCCAACACTGACGCCACAGAAGTGGTTCTCAATCGAATCCCACAGCCGGTTCTGACTCGCTTCGTAAGACTCCGACCTCAAGCGTGGAAGAACGGCATCGCTCTGCGGTTCGAACTTTATGGTTGTCAGATTACAGGTAAAAGAAAAAAGATTTAGCGCCATTTTTATCACTTGCCACGTTAAAAGACACGCAATAGTATATGCCTTTGTCTGTGTGTGTGCACCAGTCAGACATTGAAGTAAAATTAGATGTGATAGTAAATTTAAGTCTACACAATGACATATACTAATACTTAACAGATTAAGATTTTTGGTTAATACTTTCACATGAAAGGCAGTAAGTATACATTACTTCATGCTAGGTTGCAAGTTTTGTATCATTTCTCAAAGTACTTTTTTGTTAATCTCCCTGTTTTGTATTTGAACTTTTATATATCGGCTTTTCAGGGTCAGAAGGTGGGGTCAAAGCAAAAATAACTCCAGAAAACATTTAAAAAAAAAGGAAAATCTCCTTCCTCTGTATATATTTATATAATCTAATGATAATTCAGTTTGTACTTTGATCTGTTTCTCTCTTTCACACAACACACCCACTCTTGTGCACTCACACTTTTGCCCTCGCTCTTTCATATACATATGCCCCCTTCTCTGACTCCCACTCGTAGAACACACTCGCACACACAAAGACACAAAAAGACACACTTGGTACTAATAGAATAATACTAGAGTGTCATGTGTGGGTGATAACATCAGAGAGTAACAGGCTCTCAGCTTTCATCCACAGCCCTGGCAAACAAACACAATTTCAACCAGCATAATCAGCTCAATACTATAAATAGATAAAACTTAATTATACAGTCTGTGTTTGTGTGTGGGGAGACGGTAAAAGAAAGGGGTTTTGAATCCATTTGACTGAGCCTGTGTGTGTGTGTGTAAGCTCCGCTGTATCATTATTAGGTTAGGGCCTCTCCCTGCTGCCATTGTAGCGACTATAGAGAAGGGGACAGATATGCTCTTTTCGTCCAGAAGGGCTATTTCAGCACCAACACAAATCACAATCACACCAAAACAATATGACAGACAAGGAGAGTGGAAAATATCAGCTGTCCTGCCTGTGCTCGTGTCCACCAGTCCTATTTTTTGCTCCGTTTTAACACCTGAAATTGCATTATATCTCACCTTACTTTCCTCGTCACCCTCAGTGCTGAGCGCACACTTTTTTTTTTCAAAGCCATTTTCTCATGCCTGTTCTCCGCCTCTGCCACTTTATGGTTTCCATTATGGAGGTGAGGCAAACACCAACTTTACATGGAACATCTTGACATGTTCATTCTAGTTCTCCTCCGTCAGTGGAAGTGACTGAGTTTTATAGTTTACAGGTAAACAAAGGGAATCAGTCTGTTCTACTACAGTGAATTAAAGGCCTAGCATTCCTTCTTTGAAAGACTTTTAATTCAAGATGTTCACAGCAGCATTATCTCTGCTCCTAATCTGCTTAGAGTATGTCTCGAGGATCACGCTCAGCTTCCATTTAACTTTACCTCATGTCGTTCTCTGTAAGTTGAATGATTTGTCCAGTTTTCTGTCGTACGAGTTGTTGTACATCTGTCCAGAATGCCTTTGTATGGTTACATCGATAGAATAAATGAGAAATTGTTTCCATGTGTAGTTCACAAAATGTACAAGAATAGTCAATATTAAGTTTAAATCTTATAAGGACGTGGATAAAGACTTGAGTTACTTCACCCTACTTCTACTTCTCATGGGAAAATTTCACATCCACAAGAAAAAGTGGTCAAAACTCCAAGCCAAGCATAACCCACTTCAGCAAGGAACTTCACATATACAGCACCACAATTAAAGGACTTGTAAACAAAAAGGCAATGAAAACCATTTCAGTTCGAGAAAACCTTAATGTGAATTTACTTATAAAACCTGTAAATAGATTATTTTGTATCTTTTTAGACTTTTTTTTTAAACCTTTTTATAATTATCTTGTTCTTTTTTATACTTGAATACTATTATCTTTGTACCTGTTAATATACCCCTGGCAGACACATGTTTGTAATGTTGATAAAAACGTATTTTTTTTTGTTTGTTTTTAAACTTCATTATCTATGGCAGTGGTGCCCAACCCTGGTTCCTGAGGAGCACCATCCTGCATATTTTAGTTGTTTCTCTGCTCCAACACACCTGATTCAGTGATTTTATTACTTTGTCAAGTTCTGCAGAAGCCTGTGAATCACCCCTTAATTCATATTCGGTGTTTTGGAGCAGAGAAACAACTAAACCATGCAGGATGGTGTTCCTCAAGGACCAGCATTGGGAACTACTGGTTTGGAGTAAGTTCCAACCACTTTTGTGTTTACAAACGTTAAACTGTGGTGGCCATCTTGCATGGAATTGACTCCGAAAGGCAGTCAATTGTAAATATGCATTCAATGATTACTTTGGAGCATAAGTAATCATTGGCACACAGACACAGGCAAGAACATATCAGTAATCACTCTTTCTTCGCCTTCGGTGGCATGTGATAAATATGTAGTCTTCTAAAAAAAACACCTTTATAGCCAAACATATCTGCTAATACCCAAGCAGCATCTACTGTGCATAGACATGCAGAAAAGCACACACTGTAACACACTACCACAGTGTGATAATGCCCTACACAGGCCTATAAAGACAGAAATAAAGCAGTCAGTCAGTGACATGTCATTAACTTAAATCACACTTTTATGCCTCCTGCGCTGCTTTCCTCTCACTTCCTGCCCATCTTTCTTCAACGTTTCTATTTTTTTTTCCTTCCTCATTCGACTTTCCCCTCTGTCCTTCTTTTGCCTTCGCTGACAGCTTCCATTCCCATGTCTCTCCAGTCTCTCTTTCATTTTCTTCCCTCCATCGCCATCCTTAAATCTTCCCGGCTCATTCAGCACCAGCAGCATTTTCCTCACCTTAATCCCGTTTTATTTGGCACCCCTAGCTCTTTATCAGTCTCTTATTATTATCACCCGCCACCGAAGGCGCCATGATAATGGTCTTTTGCTTGTGTGTGTGTCTGTCTGTGTTTATTTGCTCTATACTGCTCATAAACCATTGAATAGATTTTATTCAAAGTAATCCTTGGATGTACCAACACAGGTGATTAACTTTTGGAGTTAACCCAATTCAAGATGGCCGACAGAGCAAAGCAATCTTTTCAAACTCTAAATAAGTCAGTTGTTTTGGTACCCTTTGCTCGCACAGAGTCAGGCAAGATGAGTATTTCTTATTTGGACCCATGGTCTTGGAATGATCTGCAGTTTAAGTTGAGGTTGGGGTCTTTTATTCCTTTATCTATCGTAATTGCTGGTCTATAGAATGCACTGATTGTCAGCCGTGCATGCTACATTTAAAATAAAACACAATTTTGCACATAAATAAGCCACGGATGTTCAATATCAGAAACTGTACACAGCTCTTGGTAGTGTGTGCAGCTCTTGTTGTAGTACAAGAAGCAACCACCAGATGGCGTTTCATAGACTTTAGCTTGCTTCAGCACGCAAACAAATTGCATGATCGTCACAGGATTTCATGATGCTTCGCACTCTGACTCGTGTTTACCAGTAATCTACTACCGTAAAAAACCATTCAACCTACAGAATGAACACAAAAACTAGTTTAAGCATAACACACTACCGGTAATCACTGGACAGAACAGTGCTAAACACCTACGTAACCAAAATTATTTAAACATTAACATACCGGTATATTTTACCCACAATCCCTATCAAGGTCATGTGTCCGGCAGTCACATAGTACTGGTAATAGTACTGGTAAAATATGGTAAATATTCATTAAATTACTACCATGGATTTTTTTTTTTTGTTAAACACTTTGGTAACAGCTGCTGTTTTTAAATGTACTTTCTAAATAAATTTGACGTGACCCCTGCTCTGTGGAGCCCATATGACTCATGAGTCACATGACTCACGGGGTGGAGGGGGAACACCCTGTTGGATAATTTAATAATCCTATCATTAACTCCTTCAATAATTAAGCCATGCAAGGAAAACCAGAAGATCTTGTCAACCCAGGTTTAATCTTGCAAGAGGAACAGAGTTGAAAAACACATATCAAGATGTTACATGTCACATCGTCTCCAAGGCCTGCTCACAGAGAGTATAAAGAAGTGTCTTTTTATATTGGTTATTATCAGACAAAGGTGAGGTCAAGGCAACTCTGCTTTCCAGCTTAGGGCCTTGAAGTTTATCAGGTGAGCAGGCTCCATGATCCTGCAGGCTCCAAACAAAACAACTCCAACACACACACATGGTTCAATAACATTTGACATTAGTAAGTGAAAAACATCCATGACCTTTACATTATCTTTCCCCATCATGTCCCCCCTGTTTATGGATTATATCACTTATTAATAACTCTCGTGCAAGTTAGGATGCCTTATGCATGTGGTGGAAAACCAGCCCAGGGCAAAATCAGTCCAATCGGATGGGAAAGCACCAGCATCTTCCCCCATCATCGCCCCACCCCCTTTCTACCTTTATTTCTCCATTTAAAGGTGCACAATACAACTGATTTTTCAATTCAAAATGACCACCACTAATCAGAATTACTATTTGAAGTGGTCGTAGCCAAGAGTCACAAACAACACATTAGAATATGCACACACCTTAAGGTGATCTTAGTGGAAAAACCTGGATGGTGTGCATTCCTTCATGGAATGCTGGGTCTTTACTTTGTGCGACACGTGCGCCCAGCCATCCAGGCGTGTTTGTGCTGGCGTCGTTGGCGTGTTTTACAGCTGTTGTGAAAGCTTGTTATCAGGGAAAGCTCAGTGGGAGTGTACACTCGCCCGTGTGTGGGTGAAATACCAGAGCATCCGGGAGAAAATGTGTGTGTGGGGGACTCTGAATAATTTTGCAAGGGCATGCTTTGTGTGCGTGCGTAAGTTTAAGAGCTCTCATGCTGGTGTGTTATATCTGACTGTTTCTGCTGAGAGCAGAAGAGTCGGCGTTCTCCTCGACTCCCACTGTTCTCCTGGATTAAAAGGACCCGCTGGAGAGCTGCTGCCAAAGCACGGAGAGGCAAAAATAAAATAGTACAATTACATCTGTTCAGATTCCTCGCAGGCGATAATTGTCTATGTATCTTATAGAGCTGGAAGGAGCTCACGTTCTGCTGCTGTTTGTTGTCGATGCATTATTTAGAGTAGCGAGGCACCGATTCAGACGTCTCAGCATTAAACATTCATCTCCTCAAAGACCTGAAGAATGTCACCATCAATCATCGTCAGCCTTCTCTCTCTCCTTCCGTCAGTCTCTTACCTTTTAATTCACTCACTCATTTTTCAGTTATTCTCTCCGCTTGACCTTTTGTTTATCTCTTTGGCTCCCCCTTCTTCATGAACTCTTTTTATTGCCCACTGCAAAAAGCAAAGATGGAAGATAATGTTTTTGCTTGACTTTGTCTGCACGTATATTCGTGTATATTTGTTCACCTGTAGCGTTTGCAAAACATCTCATGAACCACAATGCAGATTTTAGTGAAATTCTTAGAAAGCAATCACTGGATTTACCTCTACGGCGCTTTAACTTTTGAAATCAACTCCATTCAAGATGGCTCCCAGCTAGGCAACGTTAGCAAACGCAAAAAAATCACTAACTTGGACAATTTTACAATTACAGAGTTCAAATCTGCTGTGGTAGTAGCTGGTAGTCATGCCCAACACATACTCTGAGCACTACAAATTGTGCAATGCTTTTGCTTATAACTTTGACATTAGCTATTTGGAATCAACTCTGTTTGTCTGTTAGCATAATATCTCATGAATCACTGGACGGATAGCAGTGAAACTTTTAAAACGTTACTATTAAATGTTCACCAATAACTTATTAACTTTTGTAATCAACCCAATTAAAATCTTCAACACAGCTAAGCCAAGACAAAAATTTTAATAAAGTTTGGCGTTAAATTTGGTTATGTAATCCTCAACAAATACTCCAAACGTTAACACATTTTACAAGATCTCGCAATATTGCGCATAATTGATGGTGCAAAACCTTTACAAGTTTGAACCAAAATGGCTATAACTCTATTTCCCGCTGGTGAACTGTCATTCTTTATGAATGTGCCACAAATATTTTGAAGTTTCTTACATTATAAGGTCTTTGTCAAAGTAATGCACATTGCTTTGATCTGAAACATGTTTTGTCTTTAGTTCGTTCATTTGGGAAATTTCTGTTTTGATTCCCAAAGCAGATAAACCCCCACCTTCTCATCTTGGATAAATTGTGTCACATTTGCTGCAGAAAGATGGAAAAACCATGAATGAAACCAGGTGAAGTAAACAGCTCAGCAAAGACCTGGAGTGTGACACATCCGTTGTTGTGTTGTGTTATTGGTGTTGAGACGAACCATAAATTAACTCTAAATTATTCTAGACCCGAGAGTTTAGTTCTGTAGGAAGAGTTCTTATTAAAGAGTAATGATAATGAAATATTTTGGCCCATTTTCATCTGGGTCAAAATCCCTTGAGTGATAATATGGCAACTTCATTAGAAGCTCCTCACTGTTGCAAACAGAAGTTATAAAAAAAGTATTTAATGTTTTCGGTGCTGTGTTACTGTAAAAACATACAAACTTATTAAGAATCTCATAGGAAGGCAATTGTTTTAAAAGAAAATAAATAGTTTTTGTCAGCCTTCTTAGGTCATTTGATACGTAAAGCTGACAAAACAGCAGTAGAAATGAAAATCAAATGCTGTAGAATGATCCTAGAGTCCAAATGGATGTTTTAATCTCAAACTGAGTTTCAAAGCTGAAAACTTAATTACATTACTTTTCAATAGTTAAAAAAACCTCACAACTCCAGCTGTGTGTACAGCACTTTGGCCAACGGTGTCATTTTTAAAGTGCTTTATAAATAAAGTTGTATTGTAAATCACTGGCTTGCGTATTAAGAAAAAAAGCTGCAGCAAATGCATTTAGTGCATTAAAGTGTGACTTATTAGGCAGCTGATAAACTTGATGTCTAATTCTGAAGGTTTTTTTTCTGATGTTTGTAATCTAACAAAAAAATATAAAAGATTTGTCCCATCAGTGTTTGATGAAAAATACTAAAATGTTTAATAAAGTATTTGTTCTCTCCGTCTCTTTTTTAGATGCCCCCTGCTCAGAGCTTCAAGGCTTGTTGTCTGGACAACTTCCTGACTCCCAGATCTCTGCGTCCTCCATGAGGGACATCCACGGCTCGATGGGGGCAGCCAGGCTGGTGGCCAGCAAGTCCGGCTGGTATCCCAATCCAACACAACCTATAGCAGGAGAGGAGTGGCTACAGGTACACAACTGAAACCTTAAAAAAACAATCCACCAAGGTTCAGTCAGGTCATCTGTACTGTTTCTTTTTTGTTGAGACGTTTCATCCTTCATCCAAAGGACTTCATCAGTCCGAGGAGCCACAAAAAAACTCAGTCCCACAAGCATCTCACTCCCATAGTGCACCAACCAGTTTGCTGGTGATAAGATGGTTTCTGGGGCTCGCACTCTCCCCCGTCGACTCCTCTCAGGCAGCCATAGCCAAAGTTTTTTCGTTTTGGATGAAAACTTCTCAACAAAAAGAAACTGTCCAAATGACCTGATTGAACCTTGTTGGATTTTTTTTACCTGGATTATTGAGCACGAACTTTGATCGTAAAAAACAATATTTAGATACTCTGCAGCAATTTATACAAAACTGAAGGATTCTGCATGATTTTAATTAATTCATCAAATCTTTATTTATACAGGTTATGCATGCTTTAATGCTTAAGACCTGCAGAACCTCACCAATGTGAACAAAGCTTTATGCACCTGAGGGTTTAGGTCTTAAGTCGGCACTTTCACTTTCCTAGAAGCTTACTGATGAGGTCGTTTGTCAACTGTCTTTTTAAAGGAAATACATTTGAGTGTTTTGTCATAACCTAATAGTGTATCTTACTACTTCTTATGTATAAGATCTTATTGATGGTCTTCCCTGACGGTTGTAGCTTTATTCCTTACACTTGAGTAAATGTTTTATTATGGCCCAGATGCACGAATGTCTTGTGCAAATTCTTTACTGATGTCAAGAAGTTAACTCATCAGTTTTTTCCTTAAACCATATTTTCTTAACAAACTATAAGAAAAGGTTTATTCATCTCTGCCCTGCTCCCTTTAAGGGTCACCCAACAGATGTGTCCCTATATCATCTTATTCCAGCATCACACCCTCCTTTTATGTTGCTTCATGTTTTGGCAAATGCATCCCCTGTTCCTCCTCTGCACATGTCTAAACCATCTCAGCTTCGCCTCTTCAACTTTATCTCCAAAGCAAAGAGAAGAAAAGTAGAGTAAATTCTGCAAAATTGGGAAACTCACGGACCAATTGACACCTTGGAGAGATCCCCTCCACATCCAAATGCTCTATTTATCCGTGTAACCACCAAACGGAAAAACTTAATTTGAATTTCAATTATGCCGAGAGTCAATTAACCATGCTTTTTTTTTTTCCATTTTGCAGGTGGATCTGGGCACGCCGAAGACAGTACGTGGCATAATTACCCAGGGTGCAAGAGGGTTGGAGGGCAGCACGAGCGCCGAGAACAGAGCATTTGTCAGGAAGTACAAACTGGCACACAGCTTGAACGGCAAAGACTGGAACTATATTATGGACAGCAAGACTGGGTTTGCTAAGGTGAATACACACAAACACACCAAGTTAATGTAACACATCTGAACACTCCTTCCTTTGATAGCGCTGAGTTCACCCACATATTCGTTTGTTTATAGCCGCTTCACAACCAGTCCTCATTGATATCCAAATCGCCTTCGCTTTCTTTTTTCTCATTTATTTTATTTCTGCATCAGCTCTGAAAATAATTAGCTTTAATCACCTTCCTTCTCCAGTTCTGCCTCTGCTTCTGTCTTTCTTTTTTTTTTTAATTTTGAACTCGTTCTGTCTCTCTTTCACTTGTGCGCTCATCCTCTGTCTCTCATGGGTGTTAATTAAAAATGTCTTTTCTGCATCACTACTCAACAGTCTGGCGCACCGTGAGATGGGGCACTTCATTCTCCTCTCCGAGACTGTCTTAAAATGCTTTAATAGTACTACTGAGTGGCAGGATTTTCATCCCGATGTTAAAAATCCTGTTCTCTCTTATCTGCCTGTCTTTTTGTAAATGAGCATCCTGGGAAAATCATCAAAGTGTTAAATGTTTTAAGAACGACTAAAACAGAGGATACAGTCAGTACCCATTCATGAAACCAACAGTGATACTTTGCAGTCTAGTTTGTTATAAATCCTTTCTTCTTTCTTTTTTTTTTTTTTTTTTTGCCCGAGGCGGCTGAGTCTCAAAGATTACAGCATTTGAAAATAAAAAGCAACAGACTCGTTATTTTTTATGACTCGTGTCATACTGGGAGGGGAAACAATGCTGATTAGCTGCATTGTGTGATTGTTGACAGGCTTACAGTGTTTGGTTTTTTTTACCCACTACATGGAAGATGGCGAAATGATCCAATCTGCCAAAATTTTTACTGCCTGAGATACTTTAAATTGCGGTGAAACAGTTCGCATAAGCTGCATTTTGGTACAACAGGAATTTTTTTAAAACAAACAATAGCCCTCTCAGAACAAGAGCGATTGTTAACAAGGAGGCTTAAAGATACAGCAAGGTAGGATTTGGTCACTGGAAATGTCACTGTACAATAAAAAATAAAGTCATAGTGAAATATAATTTTATCAGATAATATATTAACTTAATGAAATATCTAGATATATCTATCCCGTTTTGTCATTTAGAATGATATTGTGTTAAAACACGATCTGATTCCGTTTCCGGTTAGAAATTGTAGTTTTTAGTTACATGCCTACAATTCCCAACATTCACGTACCCACCATTATAGAACACAAGGTGCAAGATATTATTGGTTGAGAGCTGGGTCACATGATAGAGTAGGGCTTCCCATTCGCTGATGGTGGTGAGGACTCCAGGAGGTGTGGCCGAGCTCTGAAGAAGATAAGTTTGCTGTTTACGCTGGATGCCATTGCTCGTGACCGCATGGTGGAGTTACAATGGCCCAGCGCTGATATCTTGTACTTTACATGTAAAATAAACCTTCTGAAATTGGAAGACAAGTGCACATCCTCTCCCTGCTTCAGATCAGAACATACTCTTACAATAGTGTTCTAACAAAGTTCAGTCAGGTCATCTGGATGTTTTTTTTTTTTTTTTGTTGAGATGTTTCGTCCTTCATCCAAAGGACTTCATCAATCTGAGAAGCCACAAACGATCTCAGTCCCAAAAGCAGCACACTCACATAGTGGACTAACAAGTTTGATGGTGATTAGATGGTTTCTGGGGCCCACCCTCTCCCCCATCAACTCCTCTGAGGCAGCCATAGCCACATTGATTCAAAACATCAAAGGTTTGTCCACTATGTGGGTTTGCTGCTTGTGGGACTCAGTTTGTTGTGGCTCCTTGGACTGATGAAGTCCTTTGGATGAAGGATGAAACGCCTATAAAGAAAAAAAAAGAAACCGTTCAGATGACCTGACTGAACTTTGTTGGATTTTCTACCTGGATTACTGAGCATAAACTTTGATGTTATAGTGTTCTGTTTTTGTCTTCCAGTTGGAAATACATTTTGTCCTCCAGGCCATGTTTTAAAAACTTAGATAAATTCCCATCCTGAAAGGTAACAGACTTTTGCCGAGAAAACAAAAAGCAAAAAAGTGCCGTGTTCATCTCTTCCTAACCCATTTCTGTATATGTGGTGTGCAACTCTGAGCACAACTTAGACTACAAGCACGTCTTAAAGACATAAAAACCTGGATGACCCTAAATTTTTTGCTTTTAAACACAGACAGGACTGAGGTTCCAGTTTTTGGACCTGAGCATCTTAGGAATACATTTGTCAGTCATTTGCACTCCTTGTATGACATTAATTTGACCTCCAGCTCTAATATTAAAAATATTGGTGTTATTTTTAATTAGGACATGTCTTTTATCCTCCACATTAAAAACGTTACTAGTACCACCTTCTTCCACCTGCGTAATATCACTAAAACTACAAACATCTTATCTAAAAATGATGCAGAAAAACTGGTTCATGCAATTGTCACGTCTAGACTGGACTATTGCAATGGTTTATTATCTGAATGTCCAAATACTTATTTAAAAAGTCTTCAGTTGATCCATAATGCTGCTGCCAGAGTCTTAACTGGAGTTAGTAGGAGAGATCATATCTCTCCAGTTTTAGTTTCTCTCCATTGGCTCCCTGTCAAGTCCAGAATTGAATTCAAAATCTTACTTCTAACCTACAAAGCCCTTTCCTTAAATGATTTGCTAAAATTGAAAAGTTTTCATTTGATACTATTTCTATCTTAACATGTGATTCTTGACCTGCCATTGTGTATCTGTTCTTACCAAACCCAGCCGGTCAAAGCAGATGACCACTTGTCCTGAACCTGGTTCTGCTTAAGGTTTCTTCCTCATGAGGGAGTTTTTCCTTTCCACTGTCGCCTTCATGCTTGTTCAAGATGAGAGTTCTGCGATGGAGTTAAATTCAAAGCAGTCTGCTCCTCAGATAATTAATGTTAACTTATTATTTTTATATATGAATATTTCTGTTCAGTGCCCTGAGATGACTTCTGTTATGACTTGGCACGATATAAATAAACTGAATTGAACTGAACTTGACTCTGTGCGAGCTGTCCACTCACTCAGAGCACAGGACAGCATCTCGACTCGTCTATTCAGAAGGACACACACTCATGCATGTTTGTGTGTCACACACCTCGGCACATCCAGAAACACACACAATCTCTGGAGTTTGTGTGCTTTCACCAACAGAGTGATCACTCCGCAGCTTTAATTTGATTTTCATTTTTATGATTCTCTTTATGGCTCTCAGCATTCAAGCTGCAACTGGAAAAACAAGCTACTTCTTATATTTTCCATCTCCCAGCAACCAGCGCTGAACTCAGTGCACACCCTTTTCATATGTGAGGAGGGCCGTGCAGTGGTTTAGATAGCTTTACGATAGCTGCGGCTGTTCGAAAATTAAAAATAAATAAAATAAAAACACCAGAGCATGCTCTCCAGGACAGCAGAGGTGATAAGTTGGCTGAGACGAACGTTCTGTTGAATTATTCATCCAAGACATCTATACTATTGGGGTTCAGTACAAATACATTTACAGTTAAACCTCTACTTTTAAAGGATTACTAAAACTTAACAGTAAAAACATTAGGATTTGACAATAAAGGTGAGTTCCAAGCCAAGATAAAGCTCATTCGGAGTAGAAAGATCACAGTTTTCTGCAACTGATCAATTTTCCTGTAAACTGAACAAACTGAGCTCGATCTTAGAAGGAAGAAGAAGCTAAACATGGAGCTTTACTCCAACCTTTACATCAATTGTCGTTTGAATTTGCACAGATTTTTGAAGGGAACAGCCACTATGATACTCCAGAGGTGAGGCGGTTTGATGAGATCGTGACGCAGTACATGAGGGTGTTCCCGGAGCGGTGGTCGCCTGCTGGGATCGGCATGAGGATGGAGGTGCTCGGCTGTGACCTGCCTGGTAAGAACACACATGGGAGCAGACTGAACACTCTTAAAGCTGTGTTTACTACTGGTGCAGTGTCTGGCTGTAATTTAAGATTAGCATTTGTGGGGGTATTCTTTACGTAAAAACGTTAAACCTGCACTGATCCACGTACATCACGGTCACTTCAGTAATGATGTAATCATTACATATACTGCAAGCAAGTCACAAACAAGCACACCTGCTGATAATTAGGAGCCTGCGATTTAACAACACAAGCAGCTTACATCCTGGTCCTACAGCACGTCATATAATCATAATAACCTGCTCAAGTATTTAAAATGTGTTCTGTGGCTAAAAAGGAAATGTTTACTACATCTATTCTGTCAAACTCCAGCATCCACAATAATATTTTACGACTTCACTTTTTAGGTGAACAGGTTAAATTCAGATGGGCCATATTTCTGACTATGAAGCTGCCACTTACCAGGGTTTGTTTCTGGATTGGTGTAATTTTACCGAATGCACTTCGTAGTGTGACCTGGAAAAATGATATCAGATTGAAACTGAGAACTATATTATCCAGACTCAAGTGTTTCAAGTGTTTGTGTTGCACTCATACAGTCTGAATATAAAGAGATTGAAGTTAATCATGCGCAGTGGGGGGCTTTTCAACATGTCTGGGCAGGGATTAAAATGTCTAGGTCATGGGACTTTTACTACTCGTGGCCAGCTGTGTTATACGTTGTGTTTCCGCTCTGTTAGCTTTGTTTGTTTGTAACACGTTAGTGGGCAGGGAAGGATTAGCTGCAGTACAGGTTGAGCTGAACCATGGGTTTTATGATCCATGATAATAAAATGTATTGTTAAAAATAAAAACAGTTTTATTTTCACTCAATTTGAAATATTTCTTTCCACGTTAGGATTAAGGGGAATTAATACATAGAGTGATGATTTAACAAAAGGTGATGAATTTACCCCATTTGTCTTTACTTTACTGAGTTGCGTACAAACCATTCATTTATTTATTTATTATCCATTTGTCTGTTTATTTATTTATTTGTCTATTTATTTATTTATTTGTTTATTCATTTGCTTATTTATTTAGTATGGACCACTCTAACGCTGCAAAGCAATTATTTTTCCTGCAGCACAATAATTCTTGGAAATAAAGCAAACCAATGCTCTTATATTTATGACTCACGTCGTAAAAATAGACTACATAATGACCCAACGAGTGCCTTCTCAGTAAGTTTGCAACTGTTTTCTTAATGTATGTTATATTTAAAATGATTAAATCTAAAACTCCAACTGCTCCTGCATGATGTCGTCTTCTCTACAACTGTGTCCATTTTTAAACATCCCTCTAAAACAATACCAAAATGACCAGTGTCCTTACCTCTCTCCTTTACGTACAATCTGATGTTAATATCTTAGTTTGTGGCGACATGTGGCAGATGAAGACATGAACAGGAAATGACACGTACCTGCTCCCGGTGGACTAAAAGTGCGACTGGTGGATGCAGTTCTGTATTTCTGAACTCATGTGTGCAGGCTGCGAGAGAAGGAGAGCCCGAAGGGAACAATATATCCCAGATGTGTCAGGCCAAACCAGTAGGCCATTCATGATGGGGACAGTAAAATATAGACGAGTACTCCGTTCATTTTTGCTTAAATAACAATAATAACTTCACAACTCTGAGGAAATTAAAAAAATGCTAAACTTTTAGCTGTGTTTTGTTAGTTTTTACAGATGAATTTTGACTTGTCTAAACTGGGAATCAAGAACCAGCCAACCTGTTGAAGTTTATCATCTGAAGGGAGAAGATCTTGTGTTTCTGTATTTTGATGCGGCTCCTTTGAGTGCCGTAATGTCAGCAAGAGGAAGTTGTGTCATGTAGCTCCTAACTATAAGAAAACAAGTGAAAACATTAAAACCAGCTATTAATTTGTGAGTAATCGATGAACGGTTATATCCTGTTTAATCAAGCTTTGTTAAAGATGCTTGTGAGATCTGAGCGCTTTAAATATGGACTGAGTTGGACGTTCAGCTTTCTAACACAATGTTTTAGCTCAATATCTGTAAAATTGACTAATGGTCATTTTTAATTACTAATATTGATTTGCTGTGGCAGACTTCTTGAATTGGGTTGACTCTAAACGTTAATCTGTTGTAGACATTTATCCAGTTAGTATTTTTTAAGTTTCACTGAAATTAGTTCAGTGGTTTATTAAATGTTTTGCTAACGCTACAGACAAACTAACATAGACACCAGCAAAAACATTATCATCTTTGCAGCAGGAGATACTGATTAAAACTGCTCACTTATGTACTTTATTAAAACCATTAAACTCTATAAATGCATTTTATGGGTTTTTTTTTTTTTTTTTTTTTTTGCTTGTTTCCATTAAAATGATGTTTTTACATTTGACATTAATGGAACTTTCTCCCCAAGTGAACAGACTCCTTAATTAGACCACAAAAGGTTACACGCTTTAACGATTTCCCCAGTGAAAACTCACTAACAGGTAAAAAAAAAATAAAACTGCACACATGGATGTAAAAACCCCTCAAGCAAACTAAAGTAATAATTAACCTGAGATTTTTGACATTAAATACAGTAGTCCCTCGTTTATTGCGGGGGATCCATACCCCAAAGTCCTGCAATAAGTGAAAAACCACGAATAAGGAATAGTAGTACAAGTAGTAGTTTATTTTAGTATATATATATATATATATATATATATATATATATATATATATATATATATATATATATGCATTTTAAACTCCTCCCACACTCTTGCAATATTCTAAACAATGTTTCTAAACTCTAAACGCTCTAAAGGAGCACAGCATGTCATGGATTCAGCTCCCTGCCTCCAGCTGCACTCTGTCATCTGCTAGCCCTCTTGGCCACGCCCACTTCTCCGCTTTAGAGAGCAGATGCTGCAGGAGGAAGCTTCTCCTGCAGCTGTGGGCTGTGCACAGGTGCAGGAGGTGCTAAGTAATTTAAAATAATTTATTTTAAATAAAAATTACATGCTGATTGTGCGGCTCATCCATCAATCAGCCAATTGTGTGTCATCTCCAGACTTATTTTGAAAAACCAAAATAGAGCGAGTCCACAATAAATGAACCGCGAAGTAGCGAGGGACTACTGTATATAATTTTTCACAGTGAGTGTTACCAGTCACACAGACTGGTTGATAAATGGTGGGACCGATGATGTTTTATTTAGCCCATACAATTGTTTTTGATTACATCTCAGGAATTTCACAAACTATCAGCAGCCATCGCTGCAAATTGCTGATTTAACATCAGCATCTTGACAGATGTTTGCCCTCTGGATGTAATCTGTACATTAGACATGATAACAGTTCATTCCCACTTCACCTGAACACCATTGCTCCTGCTACCACTATTTAAGTACAACCAGTGAAATAAACAATAATCCTTTCACTCTCTGTTTTTGGATGCAATAATAAAAATCCCATTGTTTACAGCTACAATTGTCTCCAAGAGAGAACACAAAATCCTAGAGATGCAAAAACACGTTTTTTGCTTGCTTATGTGTAGGCTTGTTCAAGCACTTGAGTTTGAAAAGAAGGATGAAATATTTAGCAAAGCATCAGCTTCGGTCCACAGAACACAGCTGTTTCTACAGCCCCCCCCCCCCACCCCCCCATCATCACTTCGTAACAGATCGGAAG